GAGATAACAGCAACTTTTGAGGCGTGATCGCATGCATGAGCGTGGATGACCTTTGAAGGTTTTCTTTTTTTTTGTTTTGTTCAGTAACGTATGATATGGAGAGCAGCGTTTTTAGTCCCTTATTACACTCCGGGGGGGGGGAAGAAATAATTTAACTCAGTGATGACTCTTGTGTATTAAATTTGATGTTGCTTTGTTTGGTTTATTTTTTAACAGCAGAATCTTAAGTGAACCGGAATGATTGATTGTGGGATCTTAGGTGAAGACTACAACAATAGAATTAAAACGAGTATAGTTCTATCTAACAAGACTCAAACTCTTATCCACCCCCACCCTACCCTCTCCCCTCATCTGATATGGTTCGGTGTTTCTTTAACATAGAAAATATTTATCATTATTGTTGTTGAGCATTGATTTCATATTCTAATGGAGCCTCCACATATCCACATATTTACATTTAGACAACAGTAGCATCTAATTTGCACACACAATGGAAAACAATATAAATGTATAATATGTGTATATATATATAAGAATAAGAATACTTTTAAAAAATTGAGTATCTCGGTCTTTCTGCTGGGGTGTTGTATCCCTTTCAGCCTGGGTTGGCCTTGGCAGGTAGCGCCGGACCCATCCTCTTAGGAATATTAATGATCTAAATTGTGTTGCTGGGGGCATAAAAACACTTTCATTCAAATTTTTTAAAAGGAAAACAACTTAACTGTGAAAACTTCGGTCCACTGCAGCATCATATCGGTTCTTACACTTAAATACAACACATATGCAAGGCATTTTTACTAATTGACTTGCCTAATCTCAAGGACCTCGGAATAAAACCTTCTGTCTTATCTAGATTTCAGTGCGTAAGTCGGGGATTCGCGCAGCGCAGGTAGACCACAGTTCTGCCGCGAGTGAGGGCTCCTATCAGGCGTGCGGTGCCGCCGACAGAGCATCCTCCATTACTTTTAATCTCCTTGGGTTGAACAGACCGGAACTCGCGCTTTGTTTTTTTCTATACAGCTGATAGTAATCTGACAGTCGCGTCGTAGTAACGGTCGAAGAAGTCGCATGAACAAGAATCACGTAATTTCGACGTTTTCTATATTTCTGTACGTTTTACTAGTTCTAGTGTCTCAGAATATGATGTGTCTAATAGTTAGGATCTTGGATATGTACCCGAACACGGCCCGAGTCGTAGTTCTAGGGCTAGATCTAGCACTAGTACCGGTGTTGTTTTTCGCGCAACGAAATCACGTCGTGCCGTACATCTGTCTCATGTAATTCAGTGTATGGGTCTGAATCAATGCACAGACAAGCTTTTATATTTTCACCAAACACTCGCACACGTATACAAATCAAACCAGAACACTTTGAACTTTTATTTTTGTTGTTGTAGTGAATTTCGTTCTACTTGTCACGTCTCTGGAAATTTTTCGGAAAATCAAATTCATGCCAATTTTGTAAAAATCATACAAATTAAAGATTTTTGTATTAGATTAAGCTTGAATGTTACTTTACTGTGTCAAAAAATAATTACAATAGGGTAATTCTGAGAGTTGTGGTGATTTATTGAAATACCCCCAAAAACGCCAGTCTTCAACGCTTGTGACTGGTGAAAGGGCCCAGTCGCAAGTGAGTTAATGCTGCATATCATTACCAAAAACGGAAGTATTTTTTCTGTCTGGCCAGTTACCAAAACCAAACACTTCACATAATTTGCATTAAGTACATTAATTTGTTTAAAAACTGCATTTAATATTCTTAATATGTTTTTAAAAGTTCTAATAATTTAAACGTTGAAATAAATTAACTGTTATTGAATTACAGTTTTATCCAAACCTCCCGTCAGATACCATGGGATTGTCCATATGGCGGAGACTTACACTGAGCAGTTGAGCTTGACATAAAATAGAATTGCACCACAAGGATACTCAAAGTTGTAGCAAACTGTCTGTAGGCATTGGAAACCAGTCCTTAAATCATCTACTCAGACCTAACCAGACCATTAGATCTCCTTCAGAGCAACATGCATCCTTGTTGAAGTATTAGTTTTAGTAAGAATTTTACAGCACTTGCAATGCAAAAAGGCCATATAATAGACCTGCATGTGAGCCTCAACCAGATCGTCTGAAAATTTTTGCACCCCCCCCCCCCCCCCCCAATAACTTAAAATTTAAAAAAAAATTATGGGTGTCATAAAAGGAAGGACTTTAGAGTAACGAGCGACCACCCCAACAAAAACAATAAAGAAGAGACCTAACCCTAACCCAAACCCTACCCCTCGGCCTACCCCAAAAAAGAACCTGCAATGGCCCTCATGTAAAAAGGCCAGCACAAGTCCCCCCCCAAAAAAGCACACCTCAAAACAAACAAGGAGCATAATATGGCATATGGCCTACATTGCTATAAGATGGTTTGATACAATAATCATAATGCAATAGAATTGGAATATGAATCCTCCATATAGTTATACATCTAGTAATCTAAATAGATCTAGATCTAGTAGAACAAGTGAATAGGAGTAGACCTTGAACGACAAATCCGCATCTGATTCCCAAAAGAGGGACTCAGCTGAGTCTCTAGATCTAGGATCTAGATCTAGATTCTAGATCTAGATTCTAAGTAAATTATTCACGCACCTGATGAAATGCGTTTTACCAACATTAATATTACTGTACAACCTATAATAGGGTTTGACACAATAGAAATGGAATACGAATCCTCCATTGAGGTCTATAATAATCTGTAAATCTAGATCTAGTAGAACAAATGAGTCGGACTTGAATGAACCCACATGATCTGAACAATCAGTTAACAAACGAAATTCAAAATGGCCGCTCGAGAACGCAATTGAAAGTAGATAATTTAGGTCGTCATCCTTTTTCGTATTCGTATTTCTACTCAGGTTCCGACAATTATGTCGGAAACGCCGATGTCGGAGGCCGGCACAAAAACTAAAGTGCCGACAAAGCCAACGAGAGAAAAAGGGGGCGCTGGCAGTCGGCCAGGCCTCGCACTTTCCACATTGACTGATACAGGTGGGCCTCGCGATAGCATCGGCCGGCTCACGGGTTGGGTCACGATTGTCGGATTTCAGACGATTGTCGACAAACATGCAGGGCTAAATTATAAGTGCCGAAGATTTAGAGGTGTTACAAGAGAGTAACAAACACAAAAAAGGAATAGAGATCAGGAAAATAGGTGATTAATAGAAAAAAAGTAGCAAACCACACTAGAGCACCCGCCAACCACCCACCATTCAAGTATTTCTGTTCCAGGTAATATTAAAGCGCAAGAAGGAAAAATCGAGACTGAGGTTCCTGCTTTGCCTATTTAAAATCAAAGATTTTTTTTTCTTCTGAAAGTACTGAACTTAAAGCGAGCCTAAGAGCTTGTAACATCGCGTCTGGTCCTTGTCGCTCTAAAATCAATCAAATAAGATTATAAAGAAACTGTCTCCTTACACGCGACGTGACGTAACGTCGCGCGTGAGCGCATGGCTGTCGCATCTGATCGGTCCATATAGCGAACGAGGGTCTCGTCGCATGAGACAGACTGGGGGTGTGGCAGGTTTAGAGTATCACCATTGGTCAAAATACCTAGCCAAGGCGTGCCCACGGTCGACATGCCGCATGTGTGTGTGTGTGTGTGTGTGTGTGTGTGTGTGTGTGTGTGTCGGTGAAGGCAAGGTTCCACGCTATGTGCCAAAAATAACTTGCTACTGTCTCTCTGTTGTGAACTGCCAGTCGCGCACGGGTTTTACCAGTCACGCGTGACATAATGAGACATATATGCTGCTTCTGTCGCACGCGACTGAAAATTTGCGTGCGACGTAGTCGCGCATAAGGTTACACACCTCGCGACTGTCGCGCGCAACATCGCGTCACGTATAAGGATACATAGTCTAATACAGATATAATTAGATACGTTGGATGTTGGCACCACATTTAACAAAAAAAGCAAACATTAAAACAGCAATGACAACAGTTGTTTCTTGCAAGATAAATATGGAATATCATAGAACTGAGAATAAGTTAAAATACAAGCACACAATAAAAAAACAAGCTTCAACTAAAAACTGAAGCAGATCAGCTAAGTTGACAATACAAGCATAAGTAATATGGGATATTATGGGAAGCACTACACAGAACCCTGAAAATTAGTCCAAAAGGAACTACAGTCAAACCTGCCCTGACGGCCACCTCCACAAACGGCCAGTTTCCATTTCCCCCCTTGCGTTTTTTCTATATAATTTAACTGTGTAAAACGGGCACCTGTCCAACGCGGCCGCGGCCATCATATTTTAACACACAACCCCTATCACACTAAGCAATAATACCTGTCTTAGACGGCCACCTTTGTGACTCCATTACGTTTTGTCATAAATTGTGCATTGGCTCCTGGCGTTGTGGGCGAGCCGTCATAATTCAATCACCTGTCGTTGTTGTTAGGTAGTCCCTCCAAACGATCATGTTGCGTAGGCCCCTCCCACTGTTGACCAATAGCTACTAATTTTCAGCTCTTGGTGAGGTAAGCGTGTGATCCCTCATAACCCATAAGTCCCGCCCAGAACTCATACACAAATTGTAAGTGAGATGAGTGGTCACTGTTTACCCAGTCTGTAACAAAGTAACAAAGGACGTCAACATGAACTTGTGACAGAAACGTCGCTCGTTCTCCAAGTGGTGGCGACCCATATGTTTGTTTTAACATGGCACTCGGTCTTCCTCGTCTGATACATTTCGTTTTATTGTCACCCTTGTGCAAATCAGCAACAAATAAAAATTACAAACAAAATACAAACCAACACCACCACCAACAACAACAACAGTGCGGCTACTTTCGATTGGGACCTCAGATGGAAAAGTTTGTTTTCTTCATCTTGATCAGTCCTGCCTAAGACGACCACCTGTCTTATACGGCCACTTTTCTCCTTGACAATGGGTGGCCGTCTTACACAGGTTTGACTGTATTTTTAAAAAAACCCCCAAAAAACTTACTTTCTTTCCTTGACAATGTCCCTAGAACAGTTCTCCTTGTGGTAATCTGTGAACTGCTGGCAAGTCTGTCTTGTGACCGAGTCCAGCTCTGTCATCTTCGGTAAGTGCAAGACCTCAGCACCAAACATCAAACGTCTCAGTCTACCAAGGGAAATAAAGCAGTAATATGCATTTCACACATCACTTTCAAGAGAACACATAGTACATAGCACAAAGGTCTGCATCAAATTTTTTAAAAGATGTACTCATTATACAGATTTGTGCTCATTGAAAAACCAGTACAAAAAGTACATTAAAAATGAAAAAAGGTCTCTATCAAATTCTCTTCAAAACCCCACATTATGGCTTGAAATCTTAAAATCTGCCTAAAAGAGGTTGTTGAGATTTCATAACTATTTCTCCACCAGTTCTAATAAGAATATTCTGTTTTCACAGACAACCATAATAAAATAATAAAACATAATTTACTTCAAACTAAAAAAATAATTTTCTGGGAGTAAGAGACTCACTTTTCTTCAAAGTGACTAGCCTTCTTTATTTGAATTTCAAGAAAAGACTAGTCACAATGATTCAATAAGAAGTCAAGCTAATAATAAATATTGAAAAAAAAATCAAGCAACTCTATTAGGCCTAATGAAGATTAAGTTCACATAATAAACAACAAACTCAAAGAATCTACCGAAACACTAAAGAAAAAACCATTATCTAACAAACGAATTAAGCCAACTGTCAATGTCAGTGTGAAGTCGAGTCTCTTTTTAAAAAATATATATTATATAGAACTGTGACTTAAAGCAGTTGTTTCATATATAATATAGCAAAGGCTGAAAAGAACCTCAGCTGTTTTAGAAGAATGCTTCTTAAAGTTATTTAACAAGACTGGTGCTGAAAAAGGAGTATTTTTTTTCTTCAAGACTTGACTTTGCTTTAACTCATTCGCTACGTATTATTTTCGGCTTGTGGACGAATTTTTTTTCGGGAGAGCGAAAGAGAGGATGACTAGTGGGCAGTTAAAAGGTCTTTGGGGCCACAAATTCAAATAAATATCAACGTATGATATACCAATATTTTCAGTATGGTTTGTAGAATACATCTGTAATGTTTATTTATGTATTTTTCAACTTTGGTTCCTGTAAGAGACGATTATGCAACACAGTTTTGATTGGATGCCGATAAAATTTGAAAATAAAAAATTTATAATCTTTGGTGAAACTCAAAAAATATGTTTGCACCTAGTCAAATGATACATCAAAATTACCATAAATGAATATATATATATAGAACTGGAAAATATTGAAAAGTTTGCAGTTATTTTCTCAATAACAGTGCATTGGCAATACGAGTCCAATCGTATCAATATTATAAAAAAGAGTCCTACACTTGTACATTTTGAACACAACACCCAATATTGAACAAAAATTATTTTTTTTTATAATCTTGAAAAACGATCACAAACAGAAAAAAACCCGCTCGTATCTTATATGGAATTATTCAGAAATGCATTTGGAATAAACCTATACATGTCTTGAGTGACCCTTTTTGTGTAATTTCATAGTAATTTCATCAAAAAGTACTGATTTGGGGTAGAAAAAAATATTTTGACTATTTAGATCTAGACCTAGATCTAGCACTCAAAAATATTGATTTCTCAATAACAGTGCATTGGCAATACGAGTCCAATCGTATCAATATTATAAAAAAGAGTCCTACACTTCTTTAGTGGGCAAAATAATGATAGATTTTGTTGTGTAAAATTACCAAAACTGGTGTCCGGGCTATAATTTTGGCATCGCGATAAAATGAAGTCGAATAAACTACGAAATCGCATTTCGAAACTGAATCATAATTTCCGATTTTCAGTGGAAATGCTTGACCCGGAAGTCAACATTATATTATGACCTTTATTTTAACATGGATATGTGGATTGGAATAGAATCTAGGCTAAAATTGAAGATCGGTTCTCGCGCCGCCGGGGGCGGCTTAGCATACTGACGGCACTTTAGCCGCGCCGCCCCTCACGGCTCGGCGTAGTGAATGAGTTAATTAACATGTAAATGATTAAGACACTCGTCTGAAGGTTTTTATCCTAAATAACAACAAGCTAAAACAAACTTGTCATATCACATTTTTCTATATAATTTAAACCTTTGCCTTAACTGATTAATTTTTGGCACATGACTTGCTTAGTAAACTACACCATATGTGAGGCAGCATGGTGAAATCAGGCGCTAATCAAAACAATGAAAGTGGAGAAACTGGCACTTTTCCGCAGGTTTCAGAATTTTTATCGAATTTGTTTTTTTTTGGCTCAGCACCTTTCATGTCCATTAAAGAACACATTTCTGGGTTGATTATACGGAAAAACGTTAATCAAAGGCACACAAAATGTAAATTTGTAGTTTCCACGGACTCTCAAGCTAAGGAAATAATCAAACTTTGGCGGCAATTTTCTCACTAATTTTACCTCGGAAATCACTATTATCTCAACTTGTATCTAAGGTAAATGGGTATTTTTTGGATGAAAGCAAGACAAATGAACAAGCTTTAAGGTGATACCAATAACTCAACATGCCCAAAAAACTGACGTTCACCTGATTCCACCGCATCGTGACACATATATACAATTACAAATCAGGACATGAGAAAAGAGATAAAGACATGGAAAATGAGGAACTTATATGTTGCTCAGCAAAGACAAAAGTCCAGTGTACATTTCAAATTTCAGAACAAAATGCATTTTCTCTTCAAAATCTTAACCTTTGTAGAGAGATATTACTCCGAGGTCTTCAATGGGGAAAGCAAAGATAAATATTAGAGACCAACAGAAAAGGAAATGACAAACCCAACTCTGAAATGCAAAATTAACTCCACGTTTATATTTTTTATGAAAAGTCAATTACTTTCAACAAGATACATTTAATGATATTGTGACTATTTTGCGATATAATAAATTAGCACTACAGGGAACAGGTGGAAAAGAAAGTTTACAATGGTATAATTTAGTCCCTAAAGAACTTCCAGACGCACAGAGAGGGATAAATTGGAATAAATAGAGACTAAGACATCTTTTCTTTCAAGGACAAAAGTGCCTGAACAACAACACCAAGGTAAAAACACCAAGAGATAAAAAAAAAAAAGCTATACAGAAAACAAGTAAACATAATATGTTGAATGAACAAAAGAAATTATGAAACAGACTAGCTGAATATGATTTGGTTTAAGTCTTATTGAAAACAGCAGGGAACATTGTATAACTGCAGTGTCACTGCTGCTACTCGCTCTTCTTAAAATGAGAATATACCACCAAAATGAAAACAATAACCACGAAAGGTACATAATTAATACACCCTTTCCAACACTTTACTCTATTATTACATCATACTTTTATGTACCAAATAAACTTCAAGTTTCACAACTATGAAATGGCAACATGAGCGTCATTTTTTGCCATGGTATGAAAAAAAAGAAGTTAACTCTCAAAACTTCATTTCACAGCAGTCTGCTTTTGATTTGAGAAAAAAAAAAGAGATAATCCTACAATATTCAACTTGTTTACAAACACAAAAATTATTTACGAAAGAAGTGGATAAATCTTCAGGCAGGTCATATTCAATATACAGTAGACTACAATGAGAAGCATAATGACAGACAGCAGAATTTCTTCACAATAAAGACATTACCTAACATAGAGTGTGTAGAAAAACCTATACTTAGACATTCGTCTGGAAATATAAACAAAATCAAATAAAATGTCATTTAAAGCATTATGTGAAACATGAAAGCATTTATGAAAAAGTTTACTTTCTTTGAGACAAAAATGGCTGAAAGTGATGTCAAGTTACTTGGCCTCAGAAGAATCAAAGGGATATAAAGGATCTTTTGCCATCAGAGTAGAACTAGAAAGGCATTTTTAAGTCATGCTACGAGGTCTGCCTCAGAATAAAGTTTCCCTCCTCCCCATAAAATCAAAAGTACGCAACCGACAGCCAGTAAATTTTGTGACGTAATGACATCATGTCTAAGAAATATCAAAGTCAAATTGCAAGTGCATTGGTGAACGGGTCATAGAGGTGTGACGTGTCAAGTGTGGTGCATTTTGTCTAAAGTATATTCGAGGAAAATGTCTGAGCAAAACATTGGTGCAACCGTCTCACGCTACGATGTCCGAGTTGTGATCAAATTTTCAACTCTTCTCAGCAAGTCTGCAGTTGAAACCCATGGTGATCTATACAAAGTAATAGGGAATAATGCCCTATCAATTCAAACAGTAAGGAAAAGGATCAAGGAGGTTTGAAGGTGGGAGGTCTGCAGCTGATGTCATTTTTCGAGGATTTTCGGGTCCAGGGGGTTGAAGGGGGACAGCGTCCCCTTTATGTTTGAGAATTTTTGGTTTCAGAGCATCCTAAGTATGCCATTTATGGCTATTCAAGCCAAAATTTAACAGAAAACAAGTGAGAAATAAAACACACTTTGCGTAGGTCTACATAATTTTCTGCTTGTGTTAATCCATATATTTCCAAACCCAAAATCTAGATCTAAATAACTTGACAGCTTATTCAACTTAAATCTACAACAAAACTTACAAATAAACAAGTCTGGTAAAAAAAATCAAGCTCTCTTTTGAGTTTTCTTTTCTTGGCAGGCCCAAGATCTATTGAATCACAATCGTCATTTCTTCCTCTTGTTTACATAGCTGGTGCTCTGCTTCTTGAGCTTTAGAAAGTGAAAGTGAAAGACACTGTCTACACTTTCAAATAAAAGAGCACTTCCGGTATGGGTTGGTTATTGTTGACTATTGGTAATAACGGAAATTTTTTATTTCGCATAAAAAAAAAAAAAATTTTCTGCACGAATTTTCACGGAAATTTTTCCATTTGCGGAATTCTGCTAATTTGCGGAAATCCGCAAAATTGCGGAAGATTGGAAGCCCTGGGTCTGACATGAAAGATGGAAGCGCACACAGAAAACACGGGGAGAGAAAGGTGATGCACAATGTTTTTTGGACCAAGTAGCATCATACTGAACTGGCTAGTCCCACCTGGCGTAACTGTCAATGGTGACTACTCGTCCTCAAAAACAAGCTGAGACCTGCAATCCGGAAAAAATACCCACTTTGCTTGAAGAAGGCGCCATTCTGCATCATGACAACGTGCCTGTTCACAAGTCCAGAGTTGTGAACGAGCTTCTTGAGGGTTACTCGTGGGAATTATTGGAACACCCGCCCTATTCGCCCGACTCCCCCCAGGCAACTTCCACCTCTTCCTCATGGTGAAAGAAATGAGGCGAGGTCAGCGATTTGAGGACGAGGACCAGATTCAAGAGGTTTTGAGAAAAGCACTCGGGACCTTGGACAAACGATCACTGACCACTGTCTTTGACCACTGGGTACATCAAATGGAGAAATGTCTTGAACTCGATGGTTCCTACGTTGAATAGGTATTTGTATTAGCTTTCTGTTGATACCAAATGCAAGGTGATTTATAATTATAGGTGAGGACAGCATGACAGGGAATCATTATTCTGAGACAGACCTCGTAGATCCTTAAAATAGAATCAAAACGTTGCTACAACATAAAAACAGATAGAATATGAGAACCAGAAGGGTTTTACCATCTTTCTCTGGGTCAAAGACAGACACAAAACAGTAAGTTCCTTATCTTCTCCATAAGATATGCTAAAAGCATTCCATATTATGTGGTACTTTGGGGGTCTTCTTTAAACTTTTCAGCATTGAAGAACTTAAATTATCCTTGACAATTTATACAAAACCGATTCGAACAAGAATGGATTAACTTTTCAGATATCAACACAAACACTGAATTTTAATGATTCCATTTTAAAGGATACCCTCAAACGTACTAAATATTCTAAAGATGGTATCAAGTCACTCGACAATTTTGATGAGGATTCCAATCACTCAAACAATTGAAAACACTTTTATAAGTTTGTATGTACCTTCTGATGAGGGGAGAAAACACTAGTCTTGTGTCAAAACCAAATACTGTGAGTATCAGGAAACCCTGAAAGACACAAAAACATTACAGTAGCTACAGTGTAACCTGGGGATTGTCACAAGCCACATAAAAGAAGAAATATTTCATTTTATTCAGTTGAGGTTTTACGGCACTCACAACTGCATAAGGTTATATGAGCGTCAAGGGGTGGATGTCAACAGAAAAGTTTTTACAGGGAATCAGGCATATTCTGCTCACCTCTCTAGCTTCAACAGCACAAAGTCTGTTTCGACTTTCAAGGCACCCCGGAAATAGCGGGACACAAAAGTATGACAAACATACAAAAGAAGTAGAGGAAAAACGACAATAGTAAGGATTAGGAAAGAAAAAGCAGCAGTTCCCTGTTGTAGACCAGGCACAGTTGTGAGCGTGACATTGATAAATCAGCCCATTTACATTTCTACTGTGCATGAACGAGAAATGTTCCCCCTTTGGGAATGGCCTAAAGACACTTCAGTCAGTGGCACCGCCCCAGGGGGTTATAAGAAGAAATGAGCTTGCATCTGTAACTGTAAGTAAAAGAGAATTGGCACATTTCTTCTGGCTTTTAGAATCCGTTAAGGTTTGGGACATAAGAGCACACTTGCTCTTTCATAAACAAAGCACAAAAACAAAAAGGTATGTGTGACAAAACTGATCAGAAATGTTCCGCTCTTCAAAAGTAAAACAACACATGAGCTACGGCAAAACTACTAGAACTAGAAAGACATGTAAAACAAATAAAAAACTAAGGCTCTCATCAAAAGATATTCTTAACTCACTCACTACCAGCCATTTCCGGGGTCGCTATTCCCTGTGTACCAGCCATTTAAAGGGTAATTTTTAAAAATCATTGTGCTTTTGCAAATTAACATCGAATTGCGCTGATAAAATTACAGCTTTTTCTTACTGTTACTTTTTTTTCACAAGTTTTCAAAAATTGGTCAAAAATAGCTTTCCCTTTGTCTTTCTTACTCACGTCCTTCCCCACTACTGCAACCCTAGATCTAGGTTTTGGAGGCCCTACTAAACCTTATTCTACTTTGCAAATTTCCCCACCCAGTTCGTCATAACAATCTTCGACCAATTCATTGGTTTCTGAGTCACTTTCGTTCTCAAATGTTCGAAAACTGTCAATGTACGCGATCTGACGAAAAGATAAATTCAGTTCTAAGGGCAGCTGTCGTAAAAGCAAAGTCAATAACTCAACTTGCGCTCGTCTGATTTCAGTTTCGTTTTTTTCTAATGAAAGATAATTGAATGAACTAAAAAAAAAGACAAACTAGTAACGCAAACGGTGCGGTTTAAACGTGAGAAAAAAATTCCTAAGTACGAACCGCGAGGGTTGCGGGTGTGGTATCACAGCGTCGGAGCAACTTTACCGCAACAGTTGTGGGTCGTTGCGGGTGTGGTAGTGAGTGTGAGTGAATTCAACTTCTCTATTCGCATTTCCTCTTGGGAATGTCATGGTCTTAAATAAAATCGTACTGTAAAAAAAAAATTTCCCCCCCCCCCCCCCCGACATGTAATACATATATGAAAGGCGTTCAAACCTACCTGTCCAAAATTAAATACACTGTCAAGGAACTCTATCTCTACATAAATCCCAGATGGCCGGCTCTCAAATATTCTCCAAATACACAAAAAGAGACCCTGGAGAAAGAGACACGAGAACTAGAGTTACAAATAATGAATGGTTTCGTCACGGTTTTTTGAAGAGAAATCACACCAAAACAGCATAGATTTATGGGAATCTGTTACAAAGAGTGAAAAGTGTCCTAGAAAAGGCAAAAAATCTACAAATCATTTTTCTTAACATGAGAATATAGGGCCTACCTGAAAAAACTAAATTATGCAAGGTAGATAGTTCATGCTCTCTTTTCAACACTTAACTCTATATTACATGGTAATTTCAAGGCAAAAAGTGCAATGAATGCTGAATAACAAAAATCTTCTTTGTTTTAGTAGAAGTTTTACGGCACTCCCAACTGCATAAGGTCATATGAGCGCCAAGGGGTGAATGTCAACAGAGAAGTCCTTACAGGGAATCAGACTTACTCTGCTCACCTCTCTAGCTTCAACAGCACAAAGTCTGCTTCGACTATCAAGGCACCCCGGAAATAGCGAGTCACAAGAGTGTGACAAACATTTTAAAAAAGTAGAGGACAATGACGATTGTAAGGATTAGGAAAGAAAAAGCAGCAGTTCCCTGTTGTGGTTCAGGCACCGTTATGAGCATGACATTGTAAGATCAGCCCATTTACAATTCTACTGTGCATTAGAACGAGAAATGTCCCCCCTTTGGGAATGGTCTAAAGCCACTTCAGTCAGTGGCAAAAAACAGACAAAAGAGAAAAATAAAAAACCACTTTAAAACAAAAGTTAAAAATCTCTTTCTACAAGTAGGACAACAGAGGAAAAAGAAAAATAAGTCATTTACAATGAGTAACTATCAAGAAAATACTTGATCATTCGACTTCACCCAGATAAGCTCAAGCCTTTAATTATATAAAAAGTATTACCACTAAATTTTCACTTAAGCGTAGAAAGAAAATATGCAGTGCAACAGATATGAGTCATTGTAAGATGTAGCAGCATAAGACTGTTGTGACAACGTTTGATAAAAGACAGCTGTATAGTTGGGATTCTTCAGATGTTTAAAATACAACAAAACTGAAGAGTTCTCCAACTACACAAAATCCTGAAAAAATCAAAAAGAACAATCAGATATAAAAATATTTTCGTTCAAAGCATATAGGCTACCATATTACTTACAAAATCACATGGCAGTTTTACCATAAATCACTCTACTTCACAACAAGTTATCTCTCATTGTTTAACTTCTAGCAGTTCATGCAACAGAATTTCGTATATACGATAGAAATAAATGTGTTTTCTTGCCTGTAAAATGTATATTTACTTTAACAAATAAAGATTGAGTAAGATATTTTTATCAAATAAAAATGACTAAACTGACTAAAAAACAAAATAAGTATTAACATTGATGATTACATAATAAAAATTCTCCCTCTGAAATTATGCGACTCGACACCGTCGATATTTGCGTTCGGTCCGCCACTTTTAATATTTCGCGTAGTTGCAGAGCTCATGGGCACTCGGAAAACAGTCGAAAAAGCAGTTAAAATGGAATCAGGGGACTGGCATCCATCTAAATAATAGCTACAGTGAATATTCTGACGAATAGGCCCCCGATAAGGAGTAATATATATGGTAAAAATGAAGAAAATGAACCTCCTCTTAATGCGAGGAACGATATTGTAAATTGGTACTTTTTTTATCAACGTTGTCAGTATGTAGATCTAACAAGTTCACCAATGTTATGAATATTATCACAGCCATTTTTTTTTCACTGTTTTTTTATATTGGTTTATTTCTTTAAATTGATCTCTTAACTCGTTATTTTGTAATATTTCGTGTGGAAATATTTTTTAAATAATTGTTATTTGACGCAACACAGGTTGCTAAGGAGTTGTTTATGTCAGCCAGTCAGTCACACAGTGCGAGTTCAGGAACTAAACACAAGCGCACTGTCATTTAAAGTATTTTAAAAAATATTTCCACACCAAATATGACAAAATATGAGTAAGACACCAAGACATCAATTTAAATAAAAAAATCAATAAAAAACAGCGAAAACAACATTTTAAAAGGGTTGTAATATCATTAATTACATTGGTGAACTTACCTATTTCCGGTCTCACTCCTTGCACAAGGAGGAGGTTCATTTTCTTCATTCTTGCTGGACTGCTCCTTATCTTGGGCCTATTCATCAGAATATTCACTGTCGCTATCATTTAGATAAATGTCTTTTGATTCCATTTCAACTGCTTTTTCGACTTTTGAGTGCCCCTGAGCTCCGCAACAACACGAAAAATTCAAAATGGAGAAGGAAGGCAGATATCGACGCTGTCGAGTCGCGTAATTTAAGAGCAACAATTTTATTATGAAACCATAAGTTTTTTAGTCAGTTTAGCCATTTTGATTTGATATTTATTTTGTTAAAGTAAATATATTTTACGAGCAAAAAATACACATCTATTTCTGTCGTATTTATTTATACATGAACTGCTGGGAGTTACAAAAGTGTAATAGTATTTTAAATTTGCTGAAATTTGATACTATGTATATATATATGATTATGTAAATCTTTTTTTAAGCCTATTTTTGTAAACATATAATCCAAGCTATTTGAAATTTTCACTGAACTGCCTACTGTAATACATAGTTGTAATCCACAGGTGGCACTGGATGTTGTGCACTAGACAGAAGCAGTTCAAAATGGGAAGTTATACTTTTACCCTTTTCACTACATTACTTACAATAAACATAGACAACAGCAGCAACAACAACATAACAAGGTGATGAGCCGTCTGGTACTCCTCTTTGTTCATCTCCTGCATTGTCTTCGCCTCCTCTTCCTGAGGGGAGTCCCCGTTGATAAGTGTGGTAGCTGTATAGGTTCGCAGCCTGTCCATACACTCATGCCGCTGTTCACTGCTGCACTGACCCAGCAAACATGTTCGCTCTGAGACATTTTCCAGCACCTCCAGATGGGACTCAGAGTCATTGCCATTGCTCATTTGTGCTCCTGGGCTAGGAATTATATCTTCAATACTTGATGCTGAGAAAAAGAGACAGCATATTATCATGTTAATAAGATGCGTTTCTGTTGAATGTGACGCTTGGCTTGCAACACCACAAGGAAAACTATAGAAGCCACAGGGATGACCTTTGAAAATATAAATCATATTCGGCAATAAAAAGAGAAATTGAAAGTTGGTCATTTTCTCTTGTTTGTTGAGCCAGTAAAGAAAAGTCTTTATCTCAACACCTTTTTTTTTCCAGTTAAACCAGACCTGCAGTTTCAGTGTCTTGTGATATCATCACCATCGTAATAAGACTGGAAAACTATAAATTTTATATTTTCCTTTTTATTTCTGCGAAATGTATTCTACAAAGCAAGTTTCATATGTTGGTAAAAAATTTATATTCAAATAATCAACCAAAAGTGGACTTTTTTACAGTATGAAAATGGGATAATCTGAAAAATTTACCTGATGTCCCTTATCCTATCTTATCACAACGGCGACGATATTAATTTTCTCACAGGCCATGAAGCAACCATTTTTAATTCCAGCCTGTAGACACACCACTGCAGCAGCCCATAAGACAATAATGTGTTATGAAAAAGAAGTGTCTATGAAAATCAAACAGATTTAGATAAAATTCAAACCCATTCACACACGCATTCCATCAAGAGATTAATCCTCGTTTCCTCTTTTTTTAAAAATTGTCTGAACCAAGAGTTATTACGGTCGGTGCATATATGTGAGGCATCGTGGTGAAATCAGGCCCTCGTCAAAATAATGAAATCACAGAAATTGGCATTTTTTGGCCTGTTTGGACATATATTCGATTTTTTGCTTTTTGGCTCAACACCTTGTATGGCCATTCAAAAACAGTTTTATGTGTGGATTTTATGGAAAATGCTGATTAAAGGCACAACAAATTTTAATTTGCAGTTTCCAAGGACTCTAAGTTATGGAAGTCACCAAATTTTGGCGGCCATTTTTTAGCTAATTTTACTTCTGAAACCAGGCGACCCCACCTCCTTCAATCGCAAATATCTCGACTTCTGTTCAAAATAAATGGATATTTTTTTCATTAAAAGCAAGGCAAATAATCTACTTTTAAGATAATACCAAAAACTCGATATGCCCAAGAATTGATGAGCGCCTGATTCCACTGCGTCCAAACACATATAAAACTTTCCATTCATTTCATTTTAAAATTCCAAACTTTAACTCGCTATAAAAATCATCTTGTTCACAACAAATATTTCCCATCAATTTCTGCACCGTGATTACTTGAAGTTGAAGCAAAATATACTCTTCGAAAAAAGTAAGGGAACACCGTTAAATATGTCGGCATTTTTCATGCGACATTTATGAATTTATCTTATACATTTTAAATGATAACTCTATATATAATATTTGAGTAGTCAATTCAACAATGTGTGTTGTAAACAACTTTGAAAACATATTGTACTTGAGTTGTGAACACAGGGCACATGCTAGTTCAACTCATTCGCTACGTATTATTTTCGGCTTGTGGACGAATTTTTTTCGGGACGGCGAAATGAGATGATGACTAGTGAGCAGTTGACAGGTCTTGGGGGCCATAAATTCAAATAAATATCAACATATTATATACCAACATTTTCAGTATGATTTGTAGAATACATCTGTATTGTTTATTTGAGTATTTTTCAACTTTGGTTCCTGTAAGAGGCGATTATGCAACACAATTGTGATTGGCTGCGGATAAAATTTGAAAACAAAAAATTTATAATCTCAGATGAAACTAAAAAAATATGTTTGCACCTAGATCTAGTCAAATTATACATCAAAACAACCATAACAACTGTATATCGAACACGAAAATATTGAAAATGAGCAGTTATTTACATACGTTCCATAATATTTGTACATTTGGGTCATAACCTCCGATATTGAAAAAAAAAAATTAAATTTTTTAAAAAGGATCCCAAACAGAAAAAAGCACTCGTATCTTAGATCTATATGGATTTATTTAGAATTGCATTTGGAATAAACCTATGCATGTCTTGGGTGGTACTTTTTGAGTAAATTCACCAAAAAGTAGTGATTTTGGGAAGAAAAAAATATTTTGACTATTTAGATCTAGAGATCTAGATCTAGATCTATATAGTCTATATCTAGATCTAGAATCTAGGCCTAGATCTAGCACTCAAAAATATTAATTTCTCAATTACAGTGCACTGGCAATTTGAGTCCAGTAGTATCAATTTTATAAATAAGAGTCCTACATTTCTTTAGTGAGCAAAATAATGATACACTTTGTTGTGTAAAAGTACTAAGACTGGTGTCTGGGCTATAATTTGGGCTTCGCGATAAAACAATGTCGCATAAACTTCGAAATCGTGTTTCAACACTGAATCAAAACTTCCGATTTTCGGTGGAAATGCTTGACCCGGAAGTCAACTTTATATTATGACCAAGGAGTTTAGAACTAATGGAGCCTCCTCTCTCTCTTCGCAGCGCCACGAGCAGTACGCCGCGGTGGGGGTCAAATATGGCCGCCGAGTGTGGGCTAAATCTCGAACTGTGGCGGTTCTTTTAATAGAATCTTATCGGGCTGGGCCACGTTGTGGGGGTGGGCGGGGTGGGGGAATGCACGCAAGGAAGAGGGGATGGAGCAGGGATGAAAAAGGAGGGGCGGGCCTTGTGAAGGGACGAAGGAGAATGGGAAAAATTAAATAAAAGAGAGAGAGAGAGAGAGAAAGAGAGAGAGAAAGAGAGAGAGAGAGAAAAAGAGAGAGAGAGAGAGAGAGAGAGACAGACAGAGAGACAGACAGACAGACAGACAGACAGGCGGACGGATGGACAGACAGACAGACAGACAGACAGACAGACAGACAGAGAGAAGAGAGAGAGAGAGAGAGAGAGAGAGAGAGAGAGAGAGAGAGAGAGAGAGAGAGAGAGAGATATTGTGATCAACTGACGGATAATGACAGGGAGAAAAAAAAAAGATTCTGTGTGTGATACGGACTATTCAATTCTTTAAAAGTTTTATGTTATAATCTAGTTTAAAAATCAGAAAGATGTGTAAAATAAGAAGAAAACTTGTCCAAGTAACATAAAATTATCAAACATACCAAATTATAAAGATAACCTTTCAAGATGCCAAAATATTTAATAATAGAAATGGATAAAAATATACTTTAAAAGTGAATTTAAGATATTATGATTGCATGATTGTAGGCGTGTGCCATAACTAACTTTATGTGTAAGGAATAGCGAACACAACAGAGGGTCGATGCCAGCTTTATCTGATTGCTAACAGTATGTCTTGGTCTATAAATAATAATATTATCGATTACAATAGTTTTGTTTCCTGGTTTTCACAAAGTAGAGCGCACAATGATTTCAAATATTAAAAAAAAAAAGAGATAACAGCACCTTTTGAGGTGTGATCGCATGCATGAGCGTGGATGACCTTTGAAGGTTTTCTTTTTTGTTTGTTCAGTAAAGTATGATATGGAGAGTAGCGTTTTTAGTCCCTTATTACCCCACCCAACCCTCTCCCCTCATCTGATATGGTTTGGTGTTTCTTTAATACGCCCATCTGGGGTGGTTAGCGTTTTGCTACTCGAACTAATTTGGTCGATCAGCCTGGCGTTACTGACCCATTGTGATATCTGTGCATGAATTAGGTCGATTAGCCTGCGGCTTCTGGCCCGTGGGGATTTAGATGCATGTTCTGTTTCTAGCCTGTGGGAATTTCTGCGCACGCTCCGTTAAATCGCGTGATCCGTTAAATCGCGTGATCAGTTACGCAAGATTCAGTCACCAAATATGATTGGATTTCCATTCTCTTTCTCCCTGAATACATCTTCAAAGAGGACAGTACCTGAGAAAGACAAACTTTTAATATAATGTAATGTAATGCAATGTATAATAATGTCAATTTGGTCAGATCATTGCAGTCAGAGTCAAACTTTCATGTAAGAAATGTAACCAGTAACAATCTAACAAGACTATTCTATATGAGCCTTTCTCATATAGATCTAATAGTCTTGTCAGATTGTTACTGGTTACATTTCTTACATGAAAGTTTGACTCTGACTGCAATGATCTGACCAAATTGACATTATTATACTACATGTAGGAAGATGGGACTGGCCATAATGTGTACAATAATGAACGTATTGCACTGGGTCAGCTTGTGAACTGATGCGGAGAGAAAACGACAGGAATCAGTAATGCTAATAACAACCCCCCCCCCCTTCCTCTTTCTCTCTCCCTCTCACTCTCTTTTTCTTTCTTTCTCCCCCCCCCCCTCTCTCTGCCCGCAGATAACATTTCTCGCTATCAACTCATCGCTGGAACGTTAATTTACACTCGTATCATGGGCCGTCACGTGCTAAAACGAGGTAGATTTAGCGCCCAAGTCTCCTTTGGATGCGAGATAGGGCAATTGAAACATCTTGGTAGTAGTTAGACAATCTTTGAAAACATAAGGATGCTGCATTTCTACTGTTAGTAACTTTGTCACCGGCATTCCGATGAATGATAATAATTAAATAATAAAGGGTGATGGATCTAGGGGATCTAGTCAACTCGCGAGGGAAACCTCGGTAGACGACAAAAATAGATGGCGGAAAAACATAATAGAAGATCTATGATCTATTTTGGGCCAATCACAGAGGTGTGCTGGGAGCTCTCAATAGCTTCCTATCGCTCGGAAGGCCGCGAGGCCATGTTTTTGTTTTGGTAAGTGTTTTTACGGTGCTCGCAACTGCATAAGGTCATATGAGCACGCGGGACCCACCTAATATTTTCATTTGGTAGGAAATTTTGCCCGGGTGGCGGCCGAAGCCTACTCTAATCAATTTTAGACCACCAAGGGATCTTTAACGTGCGCAACTTGCACACAGGCCCTCCGAGATTTTTCGCCCTTGTCCGAGAAGGCTAGGCTAGGTGTAGATCTTTCCTACCAGAAGATCAGGGGTGTGGCAGAAAGACAGCAGTTAGGAGGAGCCAAGGAGTAGCAGTAGAAAGGCTACAGAAAGAGTCAGGAGCCCAGAGGAGGGGGCAAAGGAGGTGAGGGCAGAAAGTGGAAACGAAAGCAGACAACAGAACATTGCTAAAGAGCAAGAAAGGAGGTGAAAGGACACAATTTTAGAGAAGAAAATTTTTCGGTCGCTACCCGGATTCGAACCCGGGACCTTTGAATGAGAGGCCAACACCTTAACCTCTAGGCCACGAGAGCCCCGGGCCATGTTTACACTACCTATTACTAGATCTAGGTGACCGGCTCCGGGTGTGCAGAGAAATGCTAGCCACATGAGGTCGCAGAAATCCCCACGGGCCAGTAGCATCAGGTTAATCAACCGAATTCTGTCGAGCAGCAGAACGCTAGCCACCCTAGATCGGGCGACTAGCACCGGCCATATTCAATTGATAACGGCTGTACACAAAAACTTTGAAAATCTGAAAGAAATAGTTTTATTCCAAATTTAGTCATTTTAAAGGGCAAGTTCCCTAGATATATGCCTAAATTAGTGTTTTGAACAGTTCTTAGCATAACTGGTTGAAAACTTTTTCAGAAAAACTATCAGTACACTGTTTGTTTATAATTCAAAATGCCCGCCGTTTCCATAGCAACAGTGATGTCTTCCACCCAAAAATTCCCTGTATTTCTTTTTCAAGTCATTTTTAGTGATACTGGGAAGTTTCATTTCAAAATAGCTAGAAGTGAGCAAGATTGAAATTTGACCCGCCTCTCCACTTAAGTTGTAGAGGGGGGGGGTGTGTGTGTCATAGAACAGCACTGATTTTTTAAAGATCAAAGCTGAATCGTTTCTGCTACAGGGAGTAAATTCAAATACTTTTTGGGAATGTTCAAAATAAGATCCAAATAATTTTAAGCAAAGATGTGTTGAAAATTTTGGAAGTTTTAAAGTTTTGTAATGTTTGAACCAGCCTCACAATCAATAACAGTCCAAGACAGAAAATGCTTTGCCCCTTCTGAACTGATATGATAAAAAAAACTCCCAGTTGGTTCCATTGGTTTTAACCATTACACCATGTTGCAAGGCCAGGAATGAGGGAAGGGATGCAGCTTGGGAGTAGCTTTTACCCCATCCATGTGAGCCCCTAGTGGAACAGATGGTCAGGGTGGGGTGGGTGTGAAATCTCACCACTGCTTGTGAAAAAGATTTAGTAGTGCTCCGTCACATAAACTTTCTGGGTAGTCAGAGATGTGACATAAAGTTGACCAATGCCTGCAGCCCTGACTGTACAACAAGCTGATAAAATAGTTCCTCAAGTTGTTACAAAGACAGAGAGGATGGCACGAGTTGATTGTGTTTATTCCATCGATAGGTTAGGGTAAGGGTGGAAACAAGGGAGACATTAAATTGTTTCTGTTTTTCATTGGTCAAATGGTGGTCCTATAAGATACAAACACTGATGGCAATGGATAAATAAGACTGACACATGCAATTATCAGAAAAGCTAAGACAGCCCTTGTGAGATGGGAAGTGTTAACTACTGCTTGTCTACTGGATAGATGACTCTTGATAATAACAATGATAATAATAATAAATTGCATTTATATAGCACATTTCCACAAAGAAGTGCTCAATGCGCAGTACAATAATATAAAGAACATATGCAGCGCACAGCTCCTAAAGTAATCCTCTCTCTCTCTCTCCAGTACATCCTTGAGTAAAGACAATCCCACAAAGCTTACCCAGACACCCTCGCACACCACACATTGATGAATTCACACAGTCATAAATTCTTACAGAACAGAACAGCATGAATAACCGATACTGAGAGAACATAATAGATACTCGATCCCACCAGTTATGAGGGCTGGCCTTAAAGACCCCACCCCCAATTCTGTTTTCTAAGAAGGAAAATGTCTAGGACAGGATTTTAAAAGTTTTTTTTCAGGGTCCCATGTGATTCCGTCTTGGACACATTTGATAGTATTATGTTTCTAAGAAGCAAAAATAATGTGCTTCTAAAAAGCAAAAACTTTTGCAAGAGTTTGTTTTGTTTTAGTAGAGGTTTTTCAGCGCTCGCAACTGCATATGGTCATATGAGCGCCAGAAGATAAGAAGATAAGAGGTGTTACAAGAGAGTAACAAACATAAAAAAGAAGAAGGGGAGATAAGGACGATAGATGTTTGATAGGAAAGAAGAAGCAAACCACACCAGAGCACCCGCCAACCACATTTTGCAAGAGTAGGATAACAAACATGTCACATGTAAAAACCTACCTTTCTTCAAAGACGGTCGCTTATTGTAGGTCTGGTAGTTTTTTGCTGACCTGGCAGCATCTGAACGGCTTGTCACATTTGTCAGATCCTTGAATTCACGATGAGATTCATCAACACCAGCCCCTTGGTCACACTCTGAGGCTGCCAGGCGCTCACTGCTCCCAGAAATGTTTTGCTCCTCATGAAGACCGGCATAGTCTGCACTGCAATGTAAGTGGCTTCGTTCTGCCCTCTGCCACACCACCAGAGACGTTATGGTGATGGTCACAGTCAACATCAAAATGGCGAGAGAGAAACCAGTCTGTGAAAGTAGAACAATGTTTTCAATATATTAATAATATATGTGACATACAGTATAATCTGCTTATATTGACATGCTTTGGGAAGTTGATTTGATGTCCATATATATAAAAATATAAAGCCAAAGACAATGCTACTTTTTTAAGCTGGTTGCTTAAGATATAAAAGAAACTGTTTAGTGAAGATATTGGAAGAAAAATTTCGTTGGAAAGAAAGTTAAGCGATATGTCAAAATGTTGATAATCAGATGTCGATATAAGTGGATTATACCCAAGAACCAATTGATTTGCTTTTTTTTCTTCTTTTTGTTATTAACATTTGATTTTCCATCCCTTTATCACTTAAAAGGTACTTCATTTCTCTTACAGAGTTTAAAAAAGTAACAATTCTATTTTACAGTTCTAAGAGCTTGTGGTCCTATGGACTCAAAACATGTCGTTCGTAATGTTCAGTGGTGGCAAACACAAGGGTCAGCCAAACCATGAATACCTAAAACCACACACACACTGTATACTTTTCATTACAAAGTGTCTTCTAGGTTTAACAGTGGATGGGTGGGGTGCCTAAAGTAATAGACAGTATTTGTGAAGTTTACATCCTGAAAGGTGAAGATGGGCTTTGCCACTGAACCAAATGTCATCGAGGAAATGTTCATGCTTTTCAAGACGATCGAGAAAGCACGAACACATTGCCATGCTCTGATCCATGTCAGCCTCGCGAACATGAAAATTGTACTGTAATAGGTGAAGATCTGCCTTTAGAATTTTGACTGTTGAGGTGTTGGAAAGTCCTAGCTGCAGACATCGTCTACGGAAAGACGTCTCATGGGACTCGACTACTAAATTCTGCACCCTGTTGGCATTTAAAGGAGTGTGAATGGTGCATGTTCAAACTGAAGTCGTCTTTTTGTCTGGGATTCTTTAGTTCTGATTCTCTATAGATTCAAACTGACGGAACATCTCTACCCATGACATCAAAGAAGGCCTTGGGGACACTTTAGTCTTCTTTCCGTATTTTGTGTGAAACTTACGAAGTGTCAGGGATGACAAATTGGGAGGCAAGGTAATGTTCCATGAGAACTGGAGGAAAATCGCCCATTCTGAAATCATATCTCCACAAATTGTGCAAGCGCACTACCCAGATCCATCCTGTCAAGCCTGCAAGGAGGAGGACGAGAATTTGTTTCTAAAATGTCTGCTGGGACATTTCAGTGACACACGTTAAACACTTTTTAAGCAAGTGATGAGTTCCTGTGTGCTGTCACATCACTGACTGGAGAGAGAGAGAGAGAGAGAGAGAGAGAGAGAGAGAGAGAGAGAGAG